CCGTCAAAAAAAAAAAAAAAAAAAAAAAAGAAATGGGGCTTCATCATGTTGGCCAGGCTGGTCTTAAACTCCTGACCTCAGGTGATTCACCTGCCTCAGCCTCCCAAAGTGCTGAGGTTACATGTGTGAGCCACCACACCCGGCCCATAAATTTTAATTCTATAAAAATTATACATATGCTATCTAAGTTATGATAGATTTTACAAGCGTGGGAATTGACATATAACCATATCCACATAGATATTTTAATCTACTTCCATACACTCTGACAATCACAGAAACTAAATCTGAATGATGACAAATGCTATATTAGGTCATTAGTATTAATGAGCTATTCAGATCAGTACATGTGCATAAGTACCTTTCATTCATAACCCAGCTATACAGGTACATAAGCAGGGCACTTTTCACTGCAATGCATTTCTGGACTTTGTGTTTTAAGCGGTATTATCATAAAGTGGATTCTGTTTTTCCAAGGCTGTAATTGAGGGTGTGCTCCTGACAAAGAACTCATCTTCAAATAAATCATTGCTACAACTAACCATATATCATTAAAAAAGAAATGCTTCAAAATAAACCTCTTCAAAAATTAAAACAATACCTCATTTATTCATGTAATAGTTATAAATGACCTTTATGTTTTAGACATTCATGTTATCTGTCCTGTAACTTGTATGTAAATGTTTTGTGAAATTTATCTTACAAGGGTCCTTGATGTACATGTAGCACAGAGCACAGAAAACCAAGTCTATCATACATTTTACTAAAATAAGTAATGTAGCTGTAATAAGCATTAAATATTTAACAATTGTGTTTGCCTTCTTAGAATTCTGAAAGGATTTTACAGGGTCATCTTGACACAAGGCTCTGAAATACTGCCCAAGGAAGTTTGCAATATGGCCTCCTGCTCTTTTTTATAAATTTCCTTGAGCACCAAGCATGGCACCCAAACCCTTCAGATTGTCTAGCAAAGAAAGGTTTCTTTAGGAGCTAGGCCAAAGCTTTGAACACTGGAGGAGATGCTTTCACTGCAAGAAAGAATTGGGCCACTGCCAGACCCCTGCTGGGCCTCATATCTCAGAATCTTCAGCCTGTGAAGTCTTCCAGTAGGTTCACATTTCCCACAAACCGCCTCTCAGCCTTATACCTTAGAGGCAGTGGCAACCTGACTTTATATGCCCAACTAGGGCAAGACACATCTGAAAACCTCACGACTGCCCCTACCAGCAATCACTCCGCAAAGCACAGGTGAGAAAATGTACCGGTCATGCCACTGCCTGGATCCTTCCACACGTAGCAATATAAGGTACACCAATAAAAGAGCAACTTCTGCCTCCAGGTCCAAATACAGCTTAATTTGGAGAGACCTGAGAGCCCCCTGTCTATCAGAAAATGGCAGGACTAACCATCTAACCAAATTTGTGATGAGCCAAACCCACCATACCTCATTCACATCCCTCTTTTCCTCTGTCATCATTCAACATGTAAGCATCCAGTTTGACATATCTACTTTGTGACCTTGAGCAAATCACTTGAGCTCTGTGCCTGTCTTCTCATCTGTAAAATTAAGGCCTATTCTTCATGAGGTTTTATGAGGGTTAAATGAGGTGATCTATGCAAAGCACTGTTAGATTATTGTTATTATTAAGTTATGTTTCATTATTATTGTTGTTCTTGTCTTCTAACTGCATTCCCATATTGCTTTGTGCTTCTTCTCCCTGATCCTGACCTCCCACTTCTACCTTCACTCCTTACATGCTTCAGCTGTGCCTCCTGGAACACTATTCCATGATTAACAAACTCTTCTGCAATCCACAAACTCATCCCTGAATATCCATGTTCCTAGGTTTCCCATAAGGATAGAGCTTCCCTTACAGCCTTTTCCAGTGAAAGTGATTTATACCAACACACTGCATGTACTGCATAGGGAGAAGGTAAGGTGGGAATCTTCTTCCAGCCACACTGCAACTTTCAAACCATTCCTCCTCCACCCTCAGGCAAAACCCCCTGATCCTTCTTCCTCTGAGTTTCATGATATTTGGTTACACCTTGACTCCACCTCTTTGCTGTCCTGTGCTCATTCATCGAAGATGCTGGCATCTGGTTCACAGCCTTTCCTCTCACCCCTACCCCCAGGGTGTTAAGCACTGCAAGAGAAAGTCACATAGATGAACAGATTTGTACCACTCTGAATTCGTGGTCACCAACATCAAGTGGACCTCCAATACTGGGGATTCTGTCATGTTTTCAACTCACTCGCTCATTTTCCCAAATGGTTCTTCTCAATCTTCTTCATTTTCCTCAAAACTCCCAACTCCTCAGCTGCCCCTAAGAACTCACCTCCTAAAGATAAGATAGAAGTCCCCAGATGGGAAACCAACTTCCTACTACCAAACTGGAAACATATTCACAGCCATCCTTTTCTACAGTTAAAATGGAAGGTATCCCTCTTCCAATCTAGAAGTAATTCCTCCATGTGCATTGTAGATCCCATTCACGTACAGGTCTCCTCACTAGCCATACTCAACCTACTATTACCTCTTTTCCATTTTCAACCTCTCACTCTCTACTGGCCCCTTTTTCTTGGCTTTTTCAAAGGAAGTACGTGAATATTCCAAATCATGTAATATTCAAACAACACAGAAGCATAATGACAATCAATGACAATCATAATAGCTAACATTTATTGAGGACTTACCATATACCAACACGTGCATTCAGGTATTAACATATTTAATTCTCAGAATTACTTATTAAAGTAGATAGTATTTTCTTTCTTTTTTTTTTAATTAAGAAACTGAAGAAAGGCCGGGCACAGTGGCTCATGCCTGTAATCCCAGCACTTTGGGAGGCCAAGGTGGGTGGATCACCTGAGATCAGGAGTCCAACACCAGCCTGGCCATCATGGTGAAACCCCATCTTAAAAAAAAAAAAAAAAAGAAAGAAACTGAAGAAAAAGAAGTAAGTTGCCCAAGAATACCCAGATATGAAATACCAGAATCTGGATTTGAACTCAAGTAGTCACAACACTGTGCTCTCTAAATGACAACACTTAGGGTGCCCCTGCTTTGTCCTGCCCTGTCCTGCCCCACTCCATCTCATTCTCCCTCCCCTCCTTAACTCTTCCCTTCCTTCCCCATAGGTAATGACTGGCAATAAATTTGTGTGTATATTTGTGTGTATATACTTCCAGAAATTTCTGGCGCATTTATATACACAGTACATACATGCTTTTTATCTCTACCCATTCAGAGAAACTTCTCTAGTGACAAACTATAGAAGTGATCCCTGAAAGTACAGTCTTACATTACATACATGCTTTTAAATTGATACATAATAATTGTATATATTTATAGGGTATATGTGCTGTTTCATTGCATGCATAGTATGTATATTGATGAAGTCAGGGTATTTAGAGTATACATCACCTCAAGTCTTCATCATTTTGTTTGTTTGTTTGTTTGTTTGTTTGAGACAGAGTCTCGCTCTGTCTCCCAGGATGGAGTGCAGTGGTGTGATCTAAGCTCACTGCAATCTCCACCTCCTGGGTTGCAGCAATTCTCCTGCCTCAGCCTCCCGAGTAGCTGGGACTACAGGCACGTGCAACCATGCCTGGCTAATTTTTTGTATTTTTAGTAGAGATGAGGTTTCACCATGTTGGACAGGCTGGTCTCGAACTCCTGACCTCGTGATCCACCTGCCTCGACCTCCCAAAGTGCTGAGATTACAGGCATTAGCTATCATGCCCAGATGAGTCTTTATCATTTCTGTGTGTTGGGAACATTTAAAGTCCTCTCTTCTTGCTATTTTGAAAGGTACAATGCATTGTTGCAAACTATACTCACCCTACTCTGCTATCAAACATTATAACTTATTTCTTCTATGTAATTGTATGATCGTACCCATTAACCAATCTTCCTTCATCAACCCCTCCCATCCACATATACTTCTCACCCCCTCTGGTTTCTATCAGTCTACTTTCTACCTTCATGAGTTCCCACATGTGAGTAAGAACATCTTTTTGTCCTTGGCTTATTTCACTTAAAATAATGACCATCCATGTTGCTGCAAATGACAGGATTTCATTTTTATGGCTGAATAGTATTCCATTGTATATACATGCCACATTTTCTTTATATCATTTGCCATTAATGAACACCTCGGTTGATTCTGTATCCTGGCTATTATGAATACTGCTACAATAAACATTGGGGTCCAAGTAACTTTTTGTTATACTGATTTCTTTAATTTTGGATAGTCGTGAGATTGTTTGATCATATGGTGGTTCTATGTTTAGTTTTTTGAGAAATCTCCACAGTGTGTTCCATAGTGCCTGTACTAATTAACACTCCCACCAACAGTGCATATGAATTTTCTTTACTCCACATCCTTACCAGCATCCGTTTGTCTTTTTAATAACAGCCATCCTAACTGGGGTCAGATGAGATCTAATTGTGGTTTTGATTTGCATTTCCCTGATGATTACTGATGTAGAGCATTTTTTATATACCTTTTGGTCATTTGTATGTCTTCTTTGGAAAAATGTCTATTCATGCCTTTTGACCACTTTTTAATATAATTACTTTGTTGTTGTTTTTACTATGGTGTTGAGTTCCTTACATATTTTGGATATTAACCCCTTATCAGATATACAGTTTGCAAATGTTTTTCCCATTCCATAGGTTGCCTTTTTATTTTGTGTTTCCTTTGCTGTGCAAAAGCTTTTTAGTTTAATTAAGTCATATTTGTCTTTTGCTTTGTTTTGTTTTTGTTGCCTGTACTTTTGAGGTCTTACCCACAAAATATTTGTCTAGATAAGTGTCCAGAAGTGTTTCCCCTGTGTTCCTCTAGTAGTTTTATAGTTTCAGATCTTATATTTCAGTCTTTAATCTATCTTAAATTGATTTTTGTATATAGTGAGAGATATGGGTTGGGTTTCATTCTTCTGAATATAATATCCAACTTTTGCAGGACCATTTATTTTAGCGTGTATGTGTGTGTGTGTGTGTGTGTGTGTGTGTGTGTGTTTCCCAATATATCCATATAATAACACCAGCACCATTTATTGAAGACAGTGTCTTTTCTCCAATGTATGTTCTTGGTGCCTTTGTCTATAATCAGTTGGCTGTAAATACATGGATTTATTTCTGGATTATCTATCCTGTTCAATTGGTCTATGTGTCTGTTTTTATAACAATACCATGGTGTTTTGGTTACTATAGCCTTGTAATATAATTTGAAGTCGCATATTATGATGCCTCCAGCTATGTTCAGAAAGCTACTCCCTCTGAGACTCCTTCACTGATTCCTTCTTCTTTCCCAGAATGCTATCCTTGGCATTCTCTTCTCTGTCCACACTCCCTCTCTTGATAATCTCATCTTGTCTCCTGGCTTTAAACACCATTTATATCTCCACCCTAGACTTCTCCCTTAAACTCTAGACTTGTATATCCAAGTACATTTGACTTATCTGCTTGAATATCTAAAAGACATATCACATGTCTAAAACGACCACCTGTTTCCTAAAAACTACTGAAAAAAAAATAAAAAATAAATAAAACAGTACTCCTAGTCTCTCCCCAGTCTGCCTCCCCACATACATCCCAAAACTGATATTACTCACAGCCTTCAGTTGATGACAATCCCATCATTTCATGTGCTTAGATCCAAACTCTTGGGTATTTCTTCAACTCCTCTCTTTCTCTCACACTCTATCTTTGCATAATCAAAAAATTCTATTTACTCTTCAAAATATATCAATAATTCACCCACTTCTCCCAGCTTTCACAGCTACCATCCTGGTTCAAGTCATTATTATCTGTTGCCTGGATTATTTCAATAGCCTCCTAACTGGTGTTATACCTTTGTCCCCTACCACAGTCTACTTTCAACATGAGTCAGATTTTCCTATTAACAATGAAAGTTAAACATTTCCAGTCCCAGCCCCGGACCCTACAGCCACTGAGATGTTGATGCCTAAGAAGAACTGGATTGCCGTTTTTGAACTCCTCCTTTTTAAGGAGGGAGTCATAGTGGCCATCAAGGATGTCCACATGCCTAAGCACCCGCAGCTGGCAGACAAGAATGTGCCTAACCTTCATATCATGAAGGCCATGCAGCCTCTCAAGTCCCGAGGCTACGTGAAGGAACAGTTTGCCTGGAGACATTTCTACCGGTACCTTACCAATGAGAGATACTGGATACCCTCATTGGTAAGGTACCGGTAGAAATGTCTCCAGGCAAACTGTTCCTTCACGTAGCCTCGGGACTTGAGAGGCTACATGGCCTTCATCTGCCCCCAGAGATTGTGCCTGCCACCCTACGCCACAGCTGTCCAGAGACTGGCAGGCCTTGATCTAAAGGTCTGGAGGGTGAATGATCTGCAAGACTCGCAGGAGCGGAAGCTGACAGAGCTACCTATAGATGGAGTGCTGTGCTCCCTGGAGCTGACAAGAAAGTGGAGGCTGGGGCTGGGTCAGCAACCTCAGTAAAATTGGAGAGGATTATTTTGCATTAAATAAACTTACAGTCAAAAAGACTTGGAAAAAAAAACAAAAAAAGAAAGTTAAAGTATCTTTTCTGCTCAAACCTCTCCAATTGTTTCCCATCTCATTTAGAGGAAAACCAATGTCTGTACAATTGCTTACAAGGTCTTTAATTGTCTGGATTTCTGTTACCTATTTAGCATCATTTCCTACTACTCTCCCCTACTTTCTTTGACTCTTCTCTAGTCACACAGTCACACTAACCTCCTTGCTTCCTTGCTATTCTTCTTCTTCTTTTTTTTTTTTTTTTTTGAGACAGAGTTTTGCTTTTGTTGCCCAGGCTGGAGTGCAATGGTGTGATCTCAGCTCACCACAACCTCCACCTCCCAGGTTCAAGTGATTCTCCTGCCTCAGCCTCCCAAGTAACTGGGATTATAGGCATACACCACCACCCCTGGCTAATTTTGTATTTTTTATAGAGATGAGGTTTTTCCATGTCGGTCAGGCTGGTCTCGAACCCTGACCTCAGATGATCTGCCTGCCACAGCCTCCCAAACTGCTGGGATTACAGATGTGAGCCACTGTACCCAGCCCCCTCCTTGCTATTTTTCAAGCACACTATGCATGTTCATACTTTAGGGTCTTTGCACTGGCTGTTCCTTCTATCTGAAAGGTTCTACTCCAGATCTCCAATGAATATACACCTCCCTTCCTTCAAGTCTTTGCTCAAATGTCACCTTCTCCATAAGGCATTGCCCTAGTCACTCCACTAATAAATAATGTCATTTGCCCTCCCATCCCTTTTGCTCAGGGATGTAATTTTTCCCTAGCATGCGTTACCTCCTAACATATTATAAAATGTATTACATTATTATTTATTGTGTCTCTTCTTAACCATGTAAGCTCAATGAAGGCAAACATTTGCCTGTTTCTGTTCACTGTTGTATCCAAGATCCTGGAACATGGTACACATTCAATAAATATTTGTTGAGTGAATAAATGGAACACCACATTAACTACCATTAAAGTTTCCTATTTCCCATTATAGCAACAATCCTGGAAATAGTTTTCTATATTCACAATCAAGGTTAATGTCATCAGCAATAGGTCATGTACCTTTGATATAATGTGATAATGGCACTTTACCTTCCTGATTTTCCTTCCAGAAATCCATAACCCCTGTCTAACTATGAAACAAGCATCAGACAAACCCAAATGCTACAAAATACCCTCAAAAGACTTTTTAAAATTGTCTAAGTCATCAAAAACAAGGAATGTTTGAGAAATTTTCACAGCCAAGAGGACCTAAGGAGACATAGTAACTAAATATGATATGGTATCCTGGATGAGATTCTGGAACAGAAAAAAGAACATTAGGTTAAAAAAAAAAAAAAAAACCTAAAAAAATCTGAATAAAACATTGACTTTAGTTAATAATAATCAATATTGGTTCATTAGTTGAGGCACATGGCCTTTCCACTTTCTCTTTCTGTGTAGCCTAATTCCTCTCTTCTTAAATCTGGGTTGATCTTAGGGACTTGCTTAACCAAAAGAATGCAGCAGAAATTTGGCATTTACAAGGGTAAATCCTAAGAGGCCTCGTAGCTTCCACCTGGGCTTATTGGGATACTCCCTCTTGGACCTTTGAGGCACCATGTAACAAGTCTGTCTACGCTGAGTCTGTCATTCTGTGAGGAGACTCTAGCTAGCCACAAGAAGGGATGTCTAGAGAGAGAGATGACCAACCTGCCTCCAACTGGTCTAGTCCTTCTTCCTCCTTTCCCCAGTAAATGGCACCATCATCCATCCATTTGCACAAGCCAGAAGCTAGGAAGTCATCCTTGTTATGTCCTGTCCCTCATTTTCCCGGCTAAATGTCTCTTAAGAGCTTGCTTGGGCCAGGTGAAGTGGCTCATGCCTGTAATCCCAGCACTTTGGGAGGCTGAGGCGGGTGGATCACGAGGTCAAGAGATCAAGACCATCCTGGTCAACATGGTGAAACCCCGTCTCTACTAAAAATACAAAAAATTAGCTGGGCATGGTGGCGTGTGCCTGTAATCCCAGCTACTCAGGAGGCTGAGGCAGGAGAATTGCCTGAACCCAGGACACGGAGGTTGCGGTGAGCCGAGATCGTGCCATTGCACTCCAGCCTGG